AAGGTGGGACACCAAGCATCCCCCTTTATCTAATTTTCCAAAAAATTTGGCTCCTCTTTAGTTCTTTTCCTCCCCACTCTTCCTTTTGCTTTTGACCCTCCAAATTCCAATCCTACCCTTATGATTTATTTATGCCCTTCTTTGTTCTTCCCTTCTCTTCTCCATACCTCTTTTCAATGGTTGTGGGACACTAATCCCCTAATATCTTCCTCCAATTGTTCTTAAAAGTAAATGAGTTCTTTTTTCTTTTTCAATTTGGGTGGAGGTGTTGAAAAAACCTTGAGAACCTAAAAAAATCTGATTCAGTTTGAGGGTTCATCTAAAATAAATTTGGATTGAACCGAACCAACCGAACTTATTATTAATTTTAAAATCATTTCTTTTACTGACTATAAAATTATATAGGGATATATTTGTTTTAACTTTACTTCATTCAATAATTCTTTATGGATTATTTATTATCAAACAATTTTTAAAAATAACTCTGAAAGTTTTTAGAGTGTAATTTTCACCCTATAAATATATATTGGCTTACAGATCAGGTACGTAAATGCTTAAGATATTAGCATTTACTTTTAATTTTCTTATACAGTATTTTGAATGAGTGACCCAAGTAATCTGAACCAATCAAATCTTGGATGGATTTGGTTGAGTTCATTATTTAATAAGAATTGTTTGAATTGAATAAATTTATAATCCGAATCATTGAGTTGAGTCTAAAATTATTTCAACTCAATCCAGGTCACTAATTTTGGAGTTTAGTATAATTAAGTGAAGTAAAATTTGAATTAATAATATGTACATTAATTGATTAATGTAAGCGTTTCTTTAAATAAAAAATATTTTTTTACGAGGACTTTTGGAAGAATTACCAATTTAGAGAAGGTTGTGGTTGAGAGTGATCACTTTTGTTATTGTAAAATCACTTCTATTTTCATTGATCTATTTTAGAAAAGTTTAAAATCACTTTAGATTAATTTTTAAGGATCAATTACATTTGATTTTTTTTTTCAAAATCACTCGTACCATCACTCCAAATTTTTAAAGTGATTAACACACTCTTATAGATTAAGTACTTAAAAGTCGAGTACTAGTTTAAACTAAAATGTATATATATGTCGAATTCACTCCAAGTCTTTTGAAAGCATAACATGAAGACCATAATGACGAGGAAACCCCGGGCGTATTTTTAAATTAAAAAGTTTTCCCTCTTTTGATCTCGTGGATTTGCAGAAAGTGAAGAAAGAGATGCTTAGTTTGAATTGGTTCACATAATTGAAGGCCACAAAGGGAAGTGAAGACTTTGATTAAATAATGAAGCACACCCTTTACAGATGCAATTGTATGAGCATTATCAGCAATCTTTCTGCAGATCAACTCTTATAAAAATGGAGGCTGCTGTCTGCTGCATTTTCAATGAAATGATGATAAATTGAGTACTTAAAAGCTATTTGGCAGAATGATTAAGCCCACCTCTTTCTTCTGCCTATACAAATAGGTTCCCACATATCAAGAATGTGCTCAAAGATACCTTTTTTTCAGTGTAGGAGCTACATTTCTTTCACTAGTGAAAAAAGGGGAAAAAACTATAGAGTTACAGAATTAAATTCCAAAAAATTGACTGAATATTGGCTGTTTTGCACTCAACTCTGTTAAACAAATGAAGGTAAGAGGAGAGGTGGAACAACCGCAGTAAACAGAGCTTGTTGTACACCATTTGTAAAATTCACTGTTGTATTCATTTTCACATTGTTTAGCATAGAGCTAAAAAGTCACTGATCAGTTGATATACAGAAACTACAAAAATTTTGCATTTCCAGTGTAATTCCTATGTACTTTTCGAGTACCTTTTGGCTTTTGTCATGTAGGCAATGTCCTCAACAAATGAAGAGCTCGTCGCCATTCTGCTCGTTGTGATAGTACGATTCTCCTCAATGCTGGCACGGCTCCAGCAGCTAAAATTGCTGGATGATTTTCACTGTCCATGCTCAGATTATACAGTATGGCTAGGGCTGCTTCTGTGGCCCTCTCGCTTCCTTCATCGATCAGCTTTACCAATGGAAAGATACCACCTTTAGAAGCAACAGCTCGGGTAGCATCGACAATTCCTTCTGAGAGTATTCTGTTCAGTTCCACAACAGAGGATTCTTGATCTTCCATGGAGAAGGAGCCTTTGATCTGCTGAATGAGTCTTGGTATTGTTTCGTAAAGAGTTACCTCCATGTTGATCGGATTCCCTGAATCCATGTTCAGAGCTGAAATGGAGCTAACTTTGACTAGGCAGGCAGCAATCCAGTCTTTGTGGTGAATGGGAATGTCTGACTTTAGGATTTGACGAAGTAACTTAGTGAAATGGGCAGAGTTTATTTTGTTGTAGAACTTCTCGGAATCGAGAAGTTTCGTTAGTAGACGGGAGGCTGCTGATATGGCAAGACCAGCTTCCTCAACTTCAAGGGCGTACCTTTCAGGCTGCCAATCTTCAGCATCAGAATCTATGTAACCAAAAATCACACAGAGAAATAGGTTTCAAAATCTCATGCTTAGAAACTATCTAGTCGATTATTTCAAATGAGTATCAGATTTCTAAAAGCTATAAGAAAATGACACATGCATGCTCATTCTTAAAAGTCACACCGATCATCTATTTTCCTAAAAGCCAACCTCCTCAATATAGCTCATCAACAACTCTTTCTTCTGAACTAGATTACACAAGTGATTTTATTCCTCAAAAGAATTTTTAATCATTCCAAAATTACAAAAGGGGTAGGGTAGGTGTCTTTGATAGTTACCATGTCAGAGCACTTTTTGAAACACTAGTTTGAATCAATTACCTCAAGGCATTTGGGTCTACACCTTGCACTTTAACATCGATACCAAAACATGGTCATTTCGAACTTTTGTTATGAGAAGGTTCTAATCTATGAATAGAAGAATGAAGCCAATTAACTCTCTTGTACTTCTATTAAAATATCTTTTGATTTGGGAAGCAACCTATGTAATTATTTGATTATCTTTATAATGCTGGTTTTGATGTTTAATGATGGTACTGATATCTCATTAAATAGAATCTTGAAGAATGTCGGCCCCATTATGCGTACCCTCACACAATTTTCAAAGACACAGTTGGAGTCAATTGAAGTTCAGTAGAATGATGTGCGTACCTATTGAGACTCCTAACTGGAAAACAGCCAACAAACCAGATTCTATCGCCATGGAATCGATTATTTCCATGCTTGGGTCCATAATAGAAACAAATTCCAGGATAGAAGCGGCTTTGCGTTTCAAGTTTGGGGATGAGGTATTCAAAATCTCAACGAGGCAAGAAACTGCAACAGCATCCAGCACATCTTTCCTATATAAGTTGTTAAAAAAAGTTTCACATTAGTATATAACTAACAAAAAAGAATGGTTGAACAGCAAGATTTACACTCAACTAAACCTCGTAGAAGCTTCAGATTCTGAATGTTGTCCTCCATGAGACCCGTTTACCGGTCCATTGTAAAACTGGAATATATGGACACCTTAGTAAGTCAATTTCAAACTGCAAGGTCTCACAACATGATGCATGAAACACAAGACAAAACCTTTGATTTCATTTCTTTACTGGGGTCCAGGATTCGACAAAGTATATCGAGCGTCTACGAGGCAAGGATGACTTGAGTCAGCACCAAACCAAACTGCTAACTTTGTTCTCACAAATATAAACTAGAAAAAGTTACCTTCTCCATCACATTTTCAGGGATATTTGAGAGCCTTAAAATACTAAGCAAAGGACCAAGTGCACCTTCATTTTCAATTGTCTGGCAAACAACATTGCTGTGCCAACACCAGTAAAATGTGAGACAAAAAGCATGTATTTCGATATACTAAAGGTAAAAAACAAACAATTTATGATACAACTCAAACATACCATTCTACATTTAAGGTTAAAGAAATTTCTCTTACTTCAATCCTTTGAAAAAGGTGAATAAAAACTACTGTGTTAAATCAAATTAAAAATTTTATAATGCCACAACTCAAATGTTACCTGATTGACAGTCTCTCCAGAGCTCTAATTGTAGCCCATTTGACTGCATCATTCATATTATCTAAAACCTTAACTAAATGCTTGATTGCTCCAGCTTCCTTGAACGAAATACGCATGTGTTCGTTGATGGATGCGTCAGCAATTGACTCTGCAGCTCTCATTACGGCGGTATCATCTTCAAGTTCAAGGATCAAAACTAGTCGAGCCACACCATCTATCCATGGTAAGAGTGTAAGATGGTTACCGGTAGATGACTCAAGTTGAGAGTCCTTCAAATCTTCAAATTCTATAGCACCAATTCGAGCCAGAAATTGCTGCTGCGTCCGTCCAACAATTGCATTTATCTTTCCTTCCTCTATGTTTGCCTTATTATCGACATTTAATCCAAGGAGTAATTCGGAGGCACCAAATCTTGAAGGACCGTTAGAAGATTGTTCAATTTCTGTGCCATCAGGCAAACTAGGCCATGAATGCAGGCCTGGTCTGAAGGACTTGTAGGCAGCAGCACCAACAATTGGTACTGGAACCAGTCCTTCCTCTATGACAAGAATTCTATAATACTCATCCTTAGCAAGTTCTAGCAACACATTTCTTGCTTCCTTTCTCACAATTTTCGAGCTGTCTGCCTCAGCTTTTAACTGATAAGCCTGCAGCCAAAGACCAAAAGTCAATACTAGGTTTGCTTCTAACTTGTCAATTTATTTGTTGGCTGTCTTGATCCAAATGTAAGACCCAAAAGCCCCTCCTCCCGATTGAAGCATGGAAGTAGCTGTAAGAATGCATAGTTTATTTAACATCTATTGAAGGGTTCATTAGGAATAGGAACAGAAATAGCCGTTACAAAATATTACTATATTGGGTATTTGTTCCTTAAATTATGTTTGATATGGTTCAATTTCATTTAGTTGGATTTCCAATAATTATAGAAAGACTTGGAAATTGAATTAGTAATCAGATTTTTGAATTTCTCTCCTAAGTCCCCTTTTTCTTTTAAATTTTGGATAAGAGTCCCTATTTTTCTTCCTTTACTTCCCTCCCCTCTTATTGGTCCATAAAGTTTTAGAGTAGGCATCAAAAAGTTTCTAAATCTAAATTTTGTGTCCATTTGGTCATGTATTTTAAAAATTTATAATAGGTCCTTGAACTTTCGATTTTAATCTAATAAGTTTTTGTCATTAGCTTTTTTAGTTTAACATTTACGTGGTGTATTGACTATATTATCTAGGATTACGTGACTGACTATAGCGTAAACTTTAAACTGAGAAAATTAATGACGGAGACTTATTAGACACATATTTGAAAGTTTAAAGGTCAAAATTTCAGAGACCAAACTTACAAGTTACAATTTTACCCCAATCTTCTTTATCTATTTCACTAAATTTATATTTCATCCCATCCTGGACCGAGGGCGACCATAACAAGCAGTTATAAACAATACTTTCCCCATTATATTCTATAACATTAACTTATAAACATAAAATTCCAAAATTCATCATCTGCTTCTAGTAGAATTTTAACCTTTCCATAAGCCAAAAAATAGCAAAAAGAAGTCCTACCAATTTCGGAATTAAGCCTGATTCAACAATAACTCCATGGTTACATGGACTCAATGCCAGATTTGCCAAAACCCCTCCAGCTGCTTCCTTCACCTTCATGTCCTCATCATCAAGATTCTTACTAAGCAATAGAAGAATATCAGTGTCGGCAATCTTCAATCTGAGCTTTTCATCTACTGATAAATTCCACAAAACGCATATGCTTTGCTCCTTCACCTGCAAAGCTTCAGCTGCATTCAGATATAGCTCTATACATGCTACCAAAAGACAAATGGAAAGGGAAAACACACCTCGGGAGCCAACGACGGTCGACTAAGCAAGCCAGTTATCTCTTCAATTGCTCCACTTTCTGCAACTGAATCTCTGTATAAGTTCACAAGAGAAATTGACCGTAGAAGGCCAGCAGCTGCTTCACATGTAGCGATTGATTCTGACTGAAGAAGATTTACTGTTAGATTTATGCATCCAGGAAATTTCATGATGGCATCTATGTGCTTCTTTCCTCCAAGGGAATATTTCCATAAAGCTATTACTGCTTGTTCTCTATCAAGAGGATCGTGATCTAAGCCGAGCATCCGGACAAATAATGCCACATAACTGTGTCCAACACTAGAAGAATCATTCTGTACATCTTTGATGTCCTGGGGGTGAGAGTGCAGTTATGACATGTCACCATTAACATAAAATGGTAAACTGCCAAGAACCTTGAAAAATAAGCAAAGAACTAAAGAATGTGGGAGAAATCAGTGCAGATCCTTCCAATTTAACGCTGTATTTTGGTCAAAGATCTATGGCTTTCATGCTGTTGCTGATAATGAAGATTCGACCTTGTGGCCATGCACGACTTTCATACCCACCATTACCGATACTATTCAGACAGTTCGATGACCATTTCAAAAGAACAAGAAAACTCAAGACTAACAAGAAACCAATATAAACTTCTCAGAACAGCAGGTAATTTTAATGTGGACAACAAATTTACAGTTACATTTACAAACAAAGAAAGTAGGACATAAAATGATAAAACTATAAACTAGCATAAGACTAGACTACAACTTCACTCTCGAATCTATATACCCTGTGTATATTTAGTTTTTGCTATTAACACTGTTACTTATATATTGATGTGGTACATCAATTAGACTAAAAATAATAATATGACATGACATGACAATGGTGGACACAAATAGGCCTAACCAACATGCTACAACATTTGAGCAACCGTGCCATCAATTAGAAGTTATTAGAACCAAAACAAAAAGGACTAAATAATGGGCACAGACAAGTTTAGTACTAAATTTGTAAGTTCACCCAAAATTAATCCATCCAATTCAAATTGAAAAAACAAAAGCAGCCCAAATTCTAACACAAACAGAAGAGAATCGCAGATGAACAAAACCCAGATAGGACATGGATGTTGCCGATACTTACGGGAGCTGCAGACTGCTGGTGGGTAGAATCAACAGCGCCGCCGCCATCGCTGCTGACACTCCGGCGGACAAAACGATTAGAGAGAGATTCTGGGTAGCGACCGCGATAAGGTAGATGGTAGAGAAAGACCGATAGGTTTCTGGGTTTAGTTCCCGCAGCAAAAACCTTCATGCGAGTGCTCAAGAATGAGTGTTGGCGATTGGAAAGGGGGGGATGGAAATTAGTGGAGATTGAAATCGCAGAGGCCAACATTTTGGCCAACAAATCATAAGAAGAAGACGAGAGATTGAAGGCAGAATACAGAAATTGATGGAATTAAAGAAGAAATGGTGTAGTGTAGTGTGTAGTGCAACTGTTATCTGGTTTTGCTCTTGCAGATGATATTTTGGGATTTATTGGAAATTTCGACTTTTTTAATGCATTTTTCTCCCTTTAGTTGAAATATTTTGACCTGTAAAATTTGAGAGAAATTTAACTCTGTAGCATAAACTACTCGACAAAAATACACTTTGGGTTCCAAGATTTGGATTTTTTTTTTAACCTTACCAAACATGCTCTTGTTGATTCAAAATTTTAAACGCTGAGAGTGGTGGAAGTCCTTCTAGAGGTAATTCTCAAGATGCTTCAATAGACTATATAGGTCCAATGGAGGAGTGATTGATACCAAAAAATAGGGGACGGGGTTTTTTGAACTTTCAAAGGTTTTTCCTTCTATCAAACACTTCCACGAGTACTTCGATAAAGGCTTATTAGTCTGATGAGAATTTTGAATTTCCACGAAACAAGTGAATCCTTAGGTGTTTATCCATTATCTCCGTCATTAAAAAGTTGACATATATTTATTTAAAAAAATTGTTTTCTTTCTCTTAACTTGTAAATATTTTGATTGCGGTAGATAGGATATACTTGCGGACGAAAAGCACGTAAATACTATTTTGCTGCGAAAATCAATCATACTTCTCGATTCCCTAGTAGAATAACACTTTTGTACTAACAAGTTGGTATATATCTTTCTCTAGTAACCTTATTTGGAAAAATACTTAATTTTTAACCAACAACACTCATATTTTCTACTGATGGACATTAAATTTTTTACCAATAGGAGTGAGAAATGTAGAAAATAAATATCTTTTCTATTTTAAAAGGTTAAAATTTAGATGCCAGGAAATATAAATATCTTTCTACTTACTACCATTAAAGAATTAATAGATTTTTTGACAGTTTTTTTTCAAAAAAAAAATATAGTTAAAGAAGATGAATGCATAGAGAATTTTTAATGGTGGTAAGTACGAAGATATCTACTACGTGTAAGCACTTAAGTTTTATGTTTTCAAAAAATTAAAAATGAGTGTTCTTTTGGAAACAACAACAAGAGGGAAAAAAAAACTAATTTTCTCTCTTCTATGCATCCAAGCTTGATCCTGACTCATCTCTAACTTGTTCCTTCGTCGATTTAACTCCACCAATCCTAACAGTTGAGTTTATAAAATGAATAAGATTATTCTTATGGTGTATTTATCACTTTGTTGCACCAAGGCCCATTTTACGAAAAAGAAAAATCAAAGAACGAGAATCAAAATTTTCATTCATTTGATAATGTTTACTAAATAGAAATGGAATGAAATGGTGTGATCCATCTCAAACGATGTGTAATCTCATTACTTAAAAATGTATAATTTCATTCATCTCTTACAATCTCATCAATCTAAATCTCATTCTCATTCCTTATTTTATGTGCCCTACATTTTTATTATAATTACTTTACAACTTTTCCAATTTATTTCTCGGCTATTAATGAAACCTATAGTTTTTTAATTAATTGTTTCACTTTTATTATTTATTTTTTATCTATACTACTAATAATTTTCTTCTACTACCATTTATTTTTTTTCAAAGGAAATGGTTTTTTTTTTTTGACAAAGGAAAATGAAAGAGAAAAAATGATTAGGAGGAGTGGCGTTTGGAGAGAGGGAGGGAATAGAAAATTGGTGGAATTTGAAGGATTTGAAGAGAGACAAGTGGGTGAAATTTGTGAGAGGGAGTTGAACGATAAAAATACCACTAAAATAATAGAGAAAAATATTTGGCAAAATAGGTAGCTATAGATTATACTTTATTTAAGTTAAATAAATATAAAAGTTTTGAAGATTAAAAAAAATGAATAGTGAGGAAAATTTTAGTATTTTCATTTTCATTTTATTATTTAGTTTTTCAAACAACACATATAATTTTCAACCCTAAAAAAAAATTATTTTAATAAAGGTATATTCACATTTTATTTTAAAAAATTTTCTTATGACTTCATATCTAAAATTAGATAAATATTGTCTCAAAATGTATTTTTTAATTAATTTTTAAAGAATGTGATATTATATATATTTTTGTCTATTAAAAACCGAAAATCCCTTTAATCTTTTGTTTTTTTTTTAAAGAAAAACTAGCCCAAAGGAAAGAAACTTATTAAAATGTAAGGTTCATAATGGACATTTCGATATWTAGGAACTAAAATGAATAAAAATGAAAAATATAAAGACAAAAAAAAAGGTAAAAGTGAGATATCAAAATAATCATAAYTTTTTAAAAAATAAAGAATAATTCAAACATTTTTTATTTTTATATTTATTTTGGGCTGAGTGATACAATTTTTGTAAATTTTATTATGTAAGACAATTTGGGGAATTGGTAAAAATTATCTCCCGCAAAACAAAATGCAAAAAAGATAACTGCGATTTGAAATTCGAAAAGTAAGAAGTTAGCTAACTTCATGAATATATATTAGGTAGGTTAGATTTATTTTAAGTTTAACGCTCTCCTTGTTTTTCTCGGTCTCTCTCAAGTCTCAAAATTTTATGTGGTCTCACAATTCCTTTAGGTATAATTATCAATTGGAACAGAAATCAAAATTTGTTATTTGCTAAAATTAATCTAGTGATTTCAAAGTTCTAGGTATTTTCGTTCAAATTTTTTTATCTTTTTAAAAATTTACTTCATATTATTGATTGTCGAATACTTTGATATATGAGATTTGTTTAGATTTTCTTACTTAAAAAATTAATATGTCAATAATAAAATATGAATCTAGATGTGAAAAGCTTAAAAATAAAATAAAAATAGAAAAACAGATTGAATATTAAAATGGTGCTTCTGATAGATTTGTTATTGTAAGTAAAAATAATAAAAATGATAGGATAGACAAATCAAAATATGAAACAAAAAGAGTAGAAAATGATATAGTTGAAAATCAAGCAGGTAATGAAATAAAATTCAACCTTACGATCTCTCTATTAAAGTATTGCCTAAGGCTTCATATCATCTTAAGCCGCTCTTGGTTTCAAATTTTGTTCAGTGTAGTTTACTTTCAAAATATTCACTTTGGTCTCTATACTTTTAAAAGACGATCAATTTGGTCCTTATTTGCAATATTTCAATACAATCTAATACACAATAGAGACTTTTTGATACAAATTTATAGCTACATTTCAAAAAATTTAGTGAGTGATTAATCATGGTAAAATTATAATCGGAAGAAATGAGATAAAATAATAATAAAAGGACTAAAAGGTAAAATGATCCTAATGAATGTTTTGAAACTGTAGGAAAAAATAAGAAAAATATGAAAAATATAGAGATCAAAGTAAACTAAAAAAAAAAGTTGTAAGACACCAAAATAATATTTATTTTTAAAATAATGAAGAATAATTCAAACATATCATACATTATATTTTGTATAATTTAACTTCTTTTCTTCAAAATTTGGAAAAAAAAAAGAAACGTGTTTTTTAAATTACAAAGAGAATTTGAAAACGGACACTACGAATGTTATTTTACTCCAAATTCAAACAAACAACTTCTACTGTAATATTGTATTTTTTTAATCTTTATTTTTTATTTTTTATTTTGGGCTGAATGATAAAATTTTTGTAAATTTTATTATGTAAGACAATTTGGGGCATTGGTAATTAAAAATTACCTCCCGAGAAAAAATGCAAGAAATAACTAAAATCAAAATTCAAAACCTTTCGACTTCTCAAAAAGAAAAAAATCAATAAATGTATTGCGTAGGTTAAGTTTAACTCTCTTCCTTCCTTTCTCAATCTCTCTAATCCCAATTTTTATTCTTTGATCTTCGTGGTCACATAACTCTTCCAGGTGTGATTATCAATTGGAGTAGAAATCAAAGCTTCTTATTTACTCCAATCAATCTAGCAGGCTTTCAAAATTCTAGGTATTTTCGTTTAAATTATTTTAGTTTTTAAAGAATTTACTTCATTTGTTGATTGTTTAATAATTTGATATCTAAGATTGGTTTAAATTTACTTACCTAGAAAATCAGTATGTCTATTAATAAAATATTAATCTAAATATTAAAACAATAAAAAAAAATGGATTGAATCTAAAAAGACACTCTCGATAAATTTGTTATTGAAAGTAAAAGTAATAAAAATGATGAAATAATAGAATAGATGATAGCTATTGACGAATCAGGAAACAAAAATACTAAAATAAACTAAAGCTAAATTACATATACCAAAATTAAATTTACTTTTAAATTTAGCCTTCCTTCTCTTCGAAAATAGAAAACAAAAACGGTTTTTTTTTCCCTAAATTACAAAGAGAATTTGAAAACGGAAAAAATTAATTTTATTTTAATACAAAATCAAACGAACAACTTCTACTGTGATATTGTATTTTTCTTAATCTTATTATTTTATATTTATTTTTGGTTTGGTGATTAAACTTTTGCAAATTTTATATACAATTTGGGATGTGGGTAAAAATGAACACCCACGAAACAAATGCAAGAAGATAACCAAATTTGAAATGGGAAAACCTTTCAAATTCTCTAAAAAAATCCATAAATCTCAAATTTTCATCTTTAATCATCTCCAGTCAACGACTCCTCCAGGTGTGATTATCTTTTCAAAATTAGATAACTATTTTAATCTCAAAATTGTAATTAATTTAAAGAATATGATATTATGTAAGTACTTTAAAAATCGAAAAATCTTTTAATCTTTCAAAAAAAAAAAAACTAGTTCAAAAGAAAGAAACTTTTTATATATAAGGGAAAATCCTGTAAACTATTCCATTCAAAATGTATTTATACAAGAACTAATTTAAATGATTATTCTATTTGCTTGCTGTGGTCCAAAAATACCCAATGTTTACAGAAATTTCTTTTTGGGTAATTCGATTTTTAGGAATGAGATTGAGAATGGGATATGGGGAAATGAAGAATTCCTCCAATAGAGATTAGAGTTTGTTCCAAATCTCTATTCACTATTGTGACAGATGAGGGAGGGAGGGATTTAAATAATGATTCTTATTTTAATATTATCTCTAATTTATATTATATATAAAAGTATTCATTTAAAAATTCATTCATTG